TTAGTGGAGTAAGTGGGAACAGCTTCTTCTGACATTGGCTTTGCCTCATTTTGCAGAAGACCTCTGGCTGAATTGTCCACATAATCCGTACTGTGCGATTTTCATTCGTACTTACTGTTATTGTTTTATTGCTTTGCGCACACCCTCACCAAGCAGAAATGCTGGCCATGATGAGAGAGAGGCCAAGAGAAGAGAGAGCTTTCATTCTAGGTTTTTCTGAGGCTTCCTTCGCAAGTAATCTCATCCAGTAAGTCTGGATGGCATATCTGGATCTTCTCTTGAAACTAGTTTTACTGAAGTTTTCTAAAAATAGAAGAAATGGAGACTCTGTTTTGGAGCCTTTTTATCTGGAAAGCTGCTGAAGGCACATTTGATAATCATTTGTTTGAGCTTAACAATATTTTTTCCAAATACAAATGAATTAGAAAAAATAACATAAACCATATATAATAACTCTGTGGTACCAGCTACCGCTAATTTTTTCCACATAGGAGTTCTAAAGTGACTGTGATTTTGTGAGAGTCCAGTATTGAGTCAGCCCGTGGTGAATTAAACATGAGTGTATTTGCTGTCAGGAGTGGAGTTGTATTGCTTCTTTCTTAAGCAGCAGCTTTCTTAAGACTCAGTTCTTTTGCTACCTTAGTAAGAACTGAAATTTTTCATATTCCTTATGTTTACTTCTTTATCTCTCCAGCTTCCCAACATTGATTCCACTTGTTTCAACAGTTCTATCAGAATCAAAATATATTTACTTGATGACGAAACAGATATAGGCTATTTTAGAAAAAGTTTGAAAAGTATTAGAAAAGTTTGCCAAGAGGGTTGCTCATCCTTCAAGGGCTGGCTGCAGCTGGAACTGTTGACTTCACCCCCTAATAGTTGCTTTCCCATGACTGAACGGTCTTTCAACAACCACTGTTCAATGTGAGAATTCAGGCCTCAGTGGAACAACAAAGAGGCTTGTTTAATTGAATTTACTGAAATGAAGAATAATTAGAGAGAATAAAAAAAATCTGCTGACGAAGGCCCCAAGGAAACCCTCTTCTTAGAAGAACTAAATTTTCCCAGAGCTGTAGCTTTCTTTGTTTCTATTTGTTTTTCTAATACTATTCCCCTTGTGTGATACCAGCAGCTAACCTTTGAAGTAGTAACCCGAAGAGTTGGTATGAATTCTTTTTTCTTGATGTAGGATGACAGGAGATGAGAAGATTTAATATCTACTAGGGGAATGACGGGTTTTTTTATTTCTAAGACCTGTTTTCCAAAAGAAATCCTTTCACTGTCTTAGAGCTACACCGGAAAATTTATTATGAATTAGTGCTTTCTTTTTTAATTTTTCAAGTAGCCCATGTTCTTGCATGTATTTCCATCCCAGCTAGTAGTCATCTATCATTTATCTGTAGTCAAAAGAGTCTTAAGTCTCTCCGAAGTCTCTTCCTTCCCCACATAATATAAGGGGCCTGTTGCTTCATTCAGCAAGTGGAGCATGAAAAAACATAAGAAATGCCCTACTGCATTAGAAGGATGGCCTGCCTGGCTCAATATCCTACTCTGAACAGTGGCCTGTGAGCTATTAAAAAAAAGGAGGAGGAAAAAAAACTTGCATGCACTTAAATCTGAATTCCCAACTGAACATAGTCTTTGTCCAGGCTCCACAGAAACAGATATCTCCTTTTGATAGGTTGTTAATTTACTATTTGATAGGCTCAAGCAATGGCAATTTAGCTGCAAAACTGTGGAGGCTGAGTTCCATAACTGCCCAAATGCCTGACTTAACTCTGCATAGTTCAACTTTGTGGTTTACACAAACACTTCTTTGCCTTGTTTGTGAAACATGGGTCTCATGTTGCAAAGAAAACCATTTTCCCCGGAATAAGGCTATATTTTATTAATTTTAAATTTTAATTTCTATATGCTAAAAATTCTTATTCTTTTTTAACAAGTTTTGCAACTGATTCACTGAAATCGACCCTTCTGTGTGAAACACTCGTGAGTTTCAATGAATTACTATTTTCTCCTGCATTTTTGTGGGAATATTTCCAGCCGCCTCTAGTCAGAAGCATCTGAGAAGCAATGTGTCACCTGAGCCACCAGGTGTTTGCACATTTAAATTGATATCAACAAGTAGTTCTCAAACTCTGATAGCCTTCACCTTATTACTCTCCCCCTGCCCTTGACCTGTTTCTAAAATTCAAGATGGGGGGCGGGGGCAAACCCATTCAGTCTGACCTGTAAGTCCATTGACTTAATTATAAATTGGATTATAAGGAGTTAATCTTTGATTCTGTGGTGTAACATCAGACTGCTGAAAGCCTGTCCTGGATTGGCAGCAGTATGCAAGGGCTCTGGAAGTACAGCCAGTTCCCTTTCTTCAGACCTAAGTGCTGGCAGGACCATTGAAGTATTGGTGGTTTGCCAGGGCAGACTTAGAGCCTTACACCTTCACTGTAGCACCATAGCGGTAAGGGTCACATTTTTAAAGTTATGTAGGTGTCTACTTCTCATGAGTATCAACATGGATTAGAAGTTTGCACACCTTAAAATAAGACTCAATCTTTTCTTAGCAGCTGACATTGATAGTCTCCTAATTTTCTATAGGAACAATCTAGTAGAAAATCAGTAGAAAGGAATCTCTTTCTTGCATTTCTTAGACCCAGTTTCTTAGAACCAGCTTTCCTTGCATAAGCAAAACCATTGTTCCTCACTTCTTTCTACAGATGGGCAAGTAAGTGCACAAGGCCATTTCTCAGAAAGAGACAAGAGCACTGCACAGATGTCTCCTAAGCCATACTGTTTGTCTGGTTAAAGTAGAACCAGCTAGAATTTTGTATCATTACTTACCTTCAAACCAGCAGGGTCTGGAGACACTCTGCACAGAAAGTGTTCTTGCAAGGGTCTTTCTAATCACTGCAGCTGGAATATCACTGTAGTAACTAGTGTTAGTTCTTGAAATTTTTGTAATACTACTCAGCTTGGTAACTCAAGGTTACCAAGAATCTTCTGGAAATGCGTTTGGGAGTCTGTAGGGGCTGTCTCGGCTAAGGATGAGGGAGCAAAAATGGAAGGTTGGAAAGCTCCATCAGACTAACTGTAGACCATGGCTACTATACCACTATATTGCACTGAAGCACAGGACACTGAAGAGATGTCCTTTACAATAAGATAGCACAGATACCTGTAATCGAGCTAGCCATCACGCCATGGAGCTCGCTGGGAGTTATTTTGCACTTCCAGGAAAAAAGTAACCTTTCTCCCATAGAGCTGCTTCAGCCAAATCCAAATCAGTTACTCCTTGCTTTGTCCTAAATGGCTTTGAGTTGCTCATCCTTTGTTTCAGATGAGGATTCCTATCTCACTGCTCTTTTGTTTATTTGTTTTTTTTTTGTTTTTGTCGCAGACCTTTCTCTGTGTGACATATGATACTGATATTCTGCTTTTTGCCCTCCTCAGGTGGTTGGATGAATCTATCATTCAAGACATCACACCCAAGCTACTTGGGGAGTGGCCCAACACCTATACCTACACCAAAGCCTTGTCAGATTCAGCAGGAGAAAGGAAACTTGAACATTGCTATCATCAGGCCATCCATCGTGGGAGCTAGCTGGCATGAGCCTTTCCCAGTAAGCACAATGACTCTTCTTTCTCTAGCAGGAGTTCCTTACTAAGAACCCTGTGATAGAGTTGCAGTTGTTGTATTTCCAAGAGGCTGGCCCTACTTGCAGCAGGGTTCGCTTGAGAAACACAGGGCCCAGTTTATAGGAAAGCAAGTGGGAAAGGTGGGGAGGACCTTTGTCAGTGCAGAACAGCAATCCTTCTAGTCAGGCTGTTAGTGAGGTACTGAGGAGGAGCCTAGACCTCACGTGGTCTTTGAAATCTGATGTCACATGCGATTGCCTAATATCTTTGCCTTATATTGCCGAGTTGTTGGATTCCCTGGATTCACACTTGGACGGGACTGTTGCAGATACAAATGTGTCATCCATGGGATTAAATGCAGCTGTACTTTTGGACTAAAATAAATTGATAATTTGCTAGGCTAAATATACTAGTAGCAATAATATAGCCTAACACTGCAGCCAAACTGGAAAGGCAACATAAAGTCACCTTTGCCTTTTGTGCAACTTGAAACATGTCAAAGATGTCTGAGATATAGCTGAGGCTATGCGCAAACTCCCCGTCTTGAAAAGACAGAGCAAATTGTGTTCGATGTCATAAAGCCATTTCAGGTCAGCCAGCTCGTCATTGCTTTTAACTCCAGCTCCCATGAGAGGCAGCTTCCCTGACCTGAAGTAGGATGGGATTCAAAAGTCAAGAGCGGTACTCTTCTCTTTCTTGCCGTAGAAAATAGCTGGAGTAATCAAATCAGTCTTAGTGACACTAGTACAATGTATGTCAGTGGATATATACCACAGATACAACAAATATACAACAGATATATATCTATACGACAGATATATATCACTGTTTTCAGCAAATGTGACAGCCCCAAGACAGCGTAGCATTTTAAAGCCAGCATTTATTCATGTAGCAAAGTTATTATAGGAAGCAGGTTGTTCCTAAAACAAAATTTGACTCCATTGTTGATGAGTAAATTGCAGATGATAAGAGGTGTCATACAAGGTATCCCCTATTTAAAATCAATTAAGTACTTTGTACTGCTTTGTTTTCTGCCAGCTGTGCCAGATAGGCTGGCATCCTTCTTAACTGTTGTGTCTCTGCTTCTTCATATATACCATGGCATTATAACCCTTCCACCATTTTGGAGCCTGTGCAAGCAACATATCGTTGAAAGAAAGAGTAATTGTTTTTCTTTTTTGCAGGGTTGGATTGACAGCTTCAATGGGACAAGTGGAATCTTTGTTGCGGTAGGTGTAGTTACTATTTAAAATCTACTTAGAGGGGAGTTAAGAGCTACTATAGAGTAACTCTAGAGTCACTATATAAGCCCCACTCAGAAACTGTATGGAAAAAAAAGGACCATTAGCAATTTGCTGAATCTGGTAGGAAGATATATCACACGCTTGCCATACATCTATATGCCTGTGGCAGCTGAAGAACTGTCTATTTATGCTGCATTCAAAAAAGGACACTGAAAGAGTATTCATGCTGCTAATCAACATCGCTCTAAAAATCTCAGGATACTAGAATTAAGACAGTGCTTAAAACCCTGTTTTGCAGGTGGTGCTCCGTAAGGATTACATTATAGTCTTTCATTAAATCACACAGTAGTTTTCACAAAGATTCCCTACCTTTCAGGAGACCATTTAGGTGTCAGGAGAGAGAATTGTTCTGGTGCCCGGATGAAGTAAGGCAACCAGGAACATAGTTTTGGAGGAAGTCCTGCTCAGAGCCCTGGGATGCAGCGTGTACAGTTGCTCTGTGGAGTCCTGTGCATGCTTGTCTGATTAACCACATAACAGCTCAGTGGGGATGAAGTGTGCTCATCGCGGGTACAGTTGTCGGAGAATGTCACAGCCACCCTTCAAGAAATCTCTACTTAGTAAATATGAATTGCAGTTTCCAGGGCTTTGGGCAAATCTAGGGAAATTTTCACAGAAAGGACAAAATATGCGTTCCTGAAACTAGGGATAATGCCCAGATGTCAAAGCTTGTATCTTATAACAGAACTTAATCCTCCTGCCTGGATTACTGTAGTACGAATACAAGACAGTATTATTTATACTTTCATTTATCTTTATATGTATTTTTGCTATGTCCACTGCTATGGTTTATGACTACCCTACAGTGATAAATGTTCTGGAGCTCATTCTCCGTTGCCCCGTATAGTTATTCTCCCTCTGCAGAAAACATCCAAACAGTGTGTTTAACTATCCATTCAGACTCCTCCAGTGATATGGATGATTCATTATATTCCTGCTTAGCACTGGTGTAAACAACTGCTGGGCAAAATAATAAGGAACAAACTCATAAGCTAACTGAGTATCTTGAGAAAAATATTTCCTGTAAAATGAAATCACTAATTACAATTTAACATTTGCATACAGTAATGTTCCATACTCTTTCTCCTCATTTATACTTTTTTCTGAGCTACAATCACTGCTTAACCCTATTTGTCAGTGTATTATGCTGTGTAGCTATGGACAGATATTCTTGTTCATGTATGTTTTGTCCAACCTGATTTCTTTGTAAAACTATACTATAATCAGCCTGCTGCAGTGTATAACAAGATTAGTAGTCTGCAATCATAGGAAAGCAGAATAAAATTCAAATGTTGTTTTATTAAAAAAGCTCATTTATATCTTAAGTAAAGTATAAATAGAAACTGTAACAGTTACTTCTGGAATTCACAGGTCTAGGTAAATTAGTGGGTATATCCCAGCTAATGCTCTTATTTGAAACCCCAGTTATACATTTCACAGATGTTCAAAAGCCCCCAAATATATCATTTGTCTTCACAAAGTGTTATTAGCTCCTATTCACCTCATAGTTTATGTAAAATAATTATCTTCCAACCTTTTATTCAGTGATGAACATGCTCATGAAGCTTGTCCTGCATCTCTCTTTGCATTAGCCCCAGCATCTGGTGTTGTTTTGTGTTCTTTCATGTCTTGTCATCACCACAAGAAAGAGTTTTGCAGTTCTTTAAATTTCCAGATCCACTCTTTACATTTTCATGGGACAGGCTCTAAGTTTTGTAGCAATATCTGTGAGTTTTGATTTTTTATGATTGTTTTTGAGCATTAAAAATTTCTATCTATCTGTGACAAAAATATGACCAGCGTTACAGTCTGCAAGAAGGATGTTATGAAGAAAAGTTCCATTACATTGCTTTTTATTCCCTGTGAGTGAGTTACCTAAGTAATAAACTACAGCAGCTAGTTGTCATACATGTATCACAGGTCAGTACATTACGAAAAACAGGCCAAAGTCCAAATGCTTTCCACCATATAAAAACATGCCAGTCAAATCTTTTGTCACGTAAATAGTATTTTTTTCTTTTTTCTTTTTAACTGCCAACAATTAAAAACACCTAATGACTAAGTGTTTAGAAATTTTGCCATGCATCACAGTCTTTTTTTTTTAAATATCCACTTTATGAACTTGCACTGGTGCTTACATTTATTTTATACCTTTCTCCTTTGCCACTCGTACAAGTAACTGTAAATTTTCTGTTCTTCAAAGCAGAAATTCCTGAATGTAACAGCAAATCTAACGGTGGTTTCACATATGGAAATGCATATCCTGAGAGTCTAGGGTCACTACAGTAAATAACCCTTCCCTTTCCTTTCCCAAACTCTTATCAACACCTTCTGACTTGTACTGAAATAATTTTGAAATAGAGAAACTATTGTTGGGGTCAGGACTCAAGCTCTGAGGTTCTTATGGGAAATGAAGAGACATTGAAAAATAGCTCTGAAATTCCTGAAAGTTGCACTGAGCTTTTCAGTGATGCAGTTCAAGATTTGAAATGTAATTATATCGCGAATTAACCAAGAAACAGACAACAAGCAAAGAAGGTGACTCCAGGGTGTAGAGAGGAGTCTGCTCTCAGTGTCCAGTCACTCTCGATCCTCCACAGCCAGTGGTGCCACCAATGGTGCAGCTGGTGATGCTGCATGCGTTAGGAGCGGCGATTCTGTGGTGGGCAAAAAGGACTTGCCCAGGTTGACAGTATTTGTCTGGCGTCATCTCACAGTTGCTACCAAACTTACTTAGATTGTTACTAGTTTTCTAGAGGTGAAAGATATTTATTGCTACGAAGCTCAAGAGACTTTCAGTCTTCCAAGGAGAAAAAACATACATACTCAGAATTACTGTGTTTGGATACGGCATAATGGTAATTTCTGTGTGGCAGTTCAAAAACCCTCAAATGTCTGAGTTATGGGTTAGTTTGTTTATGTGGAACATGTTTGATTAAAAATAGCTCTCTGGGTCAACTGTATTTTAAAGCATATTTGCATATTTATTAGTCAAATGGCTTTATTATTAATTAAGAATGGAGAAAGCAGAGGCAAAGTGATTTATTTTTTTAAGTCTCCCCGTAATAAATTATTCACTTTCAACTTCTAACCCAAGCTCATGCTTTATGGAAGACAATCCCTAATTTCAATTTTGGCTCAGATATCTTGGGGTTCATCCAGGCAGAATCTGAACTCCAACACTTGCAAAGAATTTTCCTCAGTAGCTACTACGTATATGAGTCTGGTCATTTGTTCCATGAATAAATATATTTCTTCTAAGTATTTATTAAAAAATAGGAACTGGAGCTGTTCTTGATACTCTAATTGTTTTTCTTTCACCTATAGTTGCTCCAGCTGCTGTGGGGAGAAGCGTTATTTGTTGACTGAAGAACAAAATGAAATGAATTACATTTCTGCTGGGCTGTAATTGAGGCATTTTGTCTCACTGTTCCATATTATGTGTAAAGACCTTCTTCCCTGCAAGGCAATGATCAGCTGCTTTAAGGGCAGAACCACGATTTAGTTCATGTTCTGAGAAGTGATTGGCCCCTGAGCTCTTCAGCTGGGATGCTGTCTAAAAATGTCAGACTCAAATTGTCAAGTGATCTCAGAGACTTCAGCTTAAGTAGCTTCTATTTCACCTAAGAGAATAAAGTCAGCAACTACAAATAGAAGTCAAGCCATACCCGATAAAGAAATAGCAAGCCATTTTCAGTGTGAGAAGGTATTTACAACATTTAAAACTGAAGTGCTTATTAAATACACAGAATTTGATTATTATTATTTAATTATGATTCAATCATGTATGACAATCCCATTCTGCTCTGAGTACAAGTACGTTTGCAGCACATCCATCAAACTTTCCATTTTGAAACCTGGCCTCAAAAAAGCTGTTTAGGGCACTTACGGAAATGCAGTTGCTGATCACACCATGTTCTCTAGTGGGCACCTCTTCACAGCAGTTAAAAATTCACAGCTGAGCTTGAGTGGTTGTTCTGGTTCTTTTTTATTGCTTGCTTTTTCCCCTGAAAAGAGAGTACTAAGAACAAAAGAATTCATGGTGATGTTGCAAGTTAGGGTTTTTATGCCTAAGCAGAACCATAGTTCTGAAATAGGGCAGCAGAGGTTAGATGCATGTCACAGGTTTGAGGAGGACTGCTAGAGTCATGTGGGGAAGTTCACATGGTTGTCTGTATCTCAGTCTTTCTGCCGTGCTGCACCAAAGGTAAGACTCGACTGCTCAGAAATCTTAGCTCATGAAGATTAAATTGGTAAAAAGTGGTACTCCTTTACTCGCAAGCTGGGAAACGTACCAACACCATATAATTAATAGAAGGGGAAGGGAGGAGGAGAAAAAGAGGAAGAAAACAAAATAACATACAGAAACACCGCCCCAACAGGGGATGCAGTGTCTCTTAAACTCCGTGAATTACCACTAGACAATGGCACATAAAATTTACAAGTTAATATCAAGTTTTAAAATAAATGCCTTTTTAATCACATCTTTCTTCTCCGCAGACTTCAGGCAAGTGTTTCTTGCGCAACTAGGCACCTCCTGTCTAGTTTCAGTAGTAAAACTTTATATTTCCCAGCTAGAGAGCTATTTTATCATGAAATGAAAGTCTCACACTGCGAGGGGAAAAAAAAGAATTGCCATAATATTTCCTCTGCCTTGACTTTTAAATATTCTTGGATCTGTGCAGCATATTTGCCCCTTCACTTCAGTCTTCTCCCTTTTGTTTTACATGGGTCTAAATTATAAGAGCTGTCCTACTTCCATGCTTCACCACTTTATTTAGCCACTGGGTTCTCATCTTCTTCATCCAACTCAAATTCGTCACAATTTATATCCTGCATACTATTTAACTTGGTTGCAATCTTGACTCTGCTACTGGGGCTTCTTATTTATTTGTTCTGTTCAGTCCTGACACACTCGATTAATCTCTTTCTCCCATTTCACCTCCACATTTCCATATTTCTGAAATGTCCTGTCTGATTAAGTCTGCCACATTTTTGCCATCTTTTCATTTCATCTTTTCTATTCATCTTTTCATGGCCCCAGACATGCCTGTGCTGTGGGACCTCCAAAGATCACCTCCAAAGGTGATCATGGCAACCCTTGACAGACATTCAGGTTTTATACATTAATGTACATATATATATTTCTGGAGCCTGACCCCTGACAAATTCACTTCCAACCAAAGCAAAGTCAAAATCTTAATGTTCTTGCCTGTCTTTCTCTTTAGTTCTCAGTACTTTATATTTTTTGCTCATCATTTATTGAGTTTTATTTTAAATCAGGCAGTAAGGTCATGGCAGGGGCCACATCTTGACTGTCTCTTTGTAGAGACATAACAGATAAAAATTTGGAGAAGTGGAAGGTGTGTCTCAATCCAAAGGAGAGGGAGTAAACTCTTGGAAAAGAGTATTTAAGAGAATAGCACTTTAGGTATCGCTGGGAATTTTACCAGAGTAAATTCAGATATGTTTCTTTCGTAAGGTGTTTCTATGGTATCAAGTTAACTAAGATTCACAACTTTTGTATTATACACAGCACATATGTCATTACATTTTAAATTTCTCTGAAAACATAGAACAGAGGGATCCACGTGAGATTCATGCCTGTCTTCACTGAAACAAAACAATGTTCTGCAGCAGATGCCTGGCTTGGAAAGTGCTAAGGTGAAAGTCTGCCCTCACTCGAAGGTGATGAAATCTTACTGTGGTCTTGCTGTCAACGACTCTTCTCCTTTGTTATGCAGGCAGGTAAAGGGATCCTGCGAACTGTCATTGCCAATAATGAAGCGTTGGCAGACATGATTCCGGTAGACGTTGTCATCAACCTCACCCTCGCGGCCGGGTGGTACACTGCGGTGCACAGGTGGGAAGGCGCTCCTCTTTCCGCCACGCTACGCCATGCTTTGCTTTTATCTGGGCTTTGAAGGGAGCTGGGACACGAGCTAATCAAAAACTGACAGGAGCCCCTAGCTGATTCCCTAGTTCACATTTTCTCTCCCAGGCTGGCAAGGACTTTCGAGGGCAGCAGAAACAATGAAGGCAGACTTCAGGGAGTAAGGAAATCTCTAAAGCTACAGATGATATATGTGTCTCCATACAGTGTAAGCTCAGCTGACCAGTCTCCCTCAGAAATTACTTTTCTGAAGACCAGGAACTTTGCAGCTGAACTTTCAGCCTCCTTTCTCAGGCAGCTACACTGAGTCACTTTGCAGCTGGCTTCTGGGGTTTTCCTGGAGAAGAGTCTGTGGATGTCTTCCTTGGAAAACACTGTATGATATAGATATGTTATGGGCTCATATGATACGGGAGGTGATCTTTTGTTGAGAAGGGTATATGTAAGTGACATTGAGGATTTAGGATCTTTTCATATGAACTTCTGGTGCTGACCTTTCATCGTTACGTAGGAAGTGCTACAGAATAAACCGTTTGAATTATTCCAGCGGTTTCTGCAACCCTGTGAAATCAATACAAGGCAGATAGATAAAAGACAGAATTATTTAATCTGGAAGACAGACTGTGCCCTTTGAACTGAAGATGAAGAAAAGCTGCATCCAGTAATCTAAACACAGGGATCCTGAAAGAGACTTAAAAGGCAGCTCACTAGCTCTTCAGAATTATTTTTCTCATAGTTTCTTTCTCCTTCATCAGCAACAAAGTAGCACAGACAGCCACTCCCCCAAGTGGAGTCCCCAGCATAAGAGGGGACTCCTGGGGTCTGTCCTAGAAAATTTGAAAAGGAAAAAAGTACACGCTGATAAACAGTATTCAGCCCCATAGGTAGACTTCCTGGCTCCGGCCATGGTAGGAGAAGTGCCATTTCTCCTTACTGTTTGCTGGCAGAAGATACATGTTTTTAATCTGGTTCTCATACAAATAAATACTAGGTTAAAGAAGCAACTACAGAACTTGATTTAAAGCTTCATCTGGCTAGGCAAAACCCCAAGGTTAGTAATCTCTATACAAAAAACAAGGGCCTCCTGCAAACTACGTTTTTCTGAGAGAGTTTCAGGCTTAGGTTCTCTCTTGAAAAACAGTGTGTATGGGTGTAATTTTTTTTAATTATCCAATTAGAAGGTTAGTATCCTTCAGGGCAGCTGACATTATTGAGGAAAATTAGATTCTGAACCTGGTCAGAGAAATGCAAACTTCATTACATGGTGTAGAAGCTCTACCAGTATTGCAAGATCACTTACTCACCTGGAGGGTGGAAAAAATCAGCAGATAGATGCTCTGCATTGGAAGCTGGGAACATGCAGAAGTCCTGTTTACTGGAGTTTAATGGGCCTGACCCACTGGAGTAGGTGGAAGTCTCTGCTTTCACTTTTGGTGCGCTTTGTATCAGGCTTTGTGTGTGGCTCGACACTAAGTGAATTTCCTGTATGGCCATCTATTATGGATCTGCTCCTTGGTGACTTGCCATATTGACTTCCATAATGCAAAGTTTCCCACATTAACGCATTCCCACTACTGTGCATTTTCATGTTTAGCACTTTGTTGGGATTCTACTCAATAATTCAGAGTTTCAGAAGATTACGGTTTCAGAGCTTCATACATGTCTATTAATCTTCCCTAGAAGTCTGCTAAGGATGGATAATTAATAATAATTCACAGCAGAATACCATGATTTCAAAGTATTATTAAAAAAAAAAAAGAAAAACCACTGTTAAAAATGTGTATTATCCAAATGCAGCAGTCAAGTATTAGCATGCAAGATCTGCCATCCCTGCTTTGGAGGGGGTTCTGTCTCCTTTTAACTTCAGTCACCGTAGTTTTGAAAAGAAAGGTTCCCCGCTACTCAGCCTCATACAGTGAAGAAAGGCTCTGAGCAGCACAGGTAGTCTAGCAACACCAAGAAGCTGAAGCCTCCAGCCAAGCTGTCATATCCTCTTCAAGGCCAGCTCTCACCTCTTTTAGGATTTTTGCCTCCAACTGCTAATGTAGAGTGAAAAAAAAGGTCTACTGATGGCACTCTTTGCAAGACAGGCTTAGATAGAAGAAGTTGTTTTACAAATTCATGTCTTGCATCAAAGGAAGAAACAAAATGGCATGATCTGTGTTTAGTTCCAGGCCCAGATAACAACCAAGATTTATATGGCATTAAAATGAGAATTTTGCTGAAATGGATTGATTCCTGATCACCCTCATGACAAATGGAGTTTAAAATCAGCAAAATCATATCTGTTAAGTGAATGATTGTAAAATATATAGTGTATCCCAGAGGTTGGTTTGGGCCAGGTGTTTACTGTACACCAAGAGAAACTGTTAAAAAAAAAAAAATCAGAAACCTGTCACTATGTATCCTTTCCTTATTTTTATAATTTTTGATAAATGATATTTAGATAATTTATCTCAAGCCTCATCTACCTTTATTAACATCATGTGCTCTTCAGAATCTAACTGAATCTTATTTGAACTTCATGTTTTATACTGCATTTTCATATTTATGACAAATGAACCCATACAATTTTTTTATGAGCTGATATTATTGGTTCTTAGGCTATTAGCTTTCATGTTCCATTATTAAAGCTTTGGGTGTTTTTCTTCCCACATTTAAAAAATATATATTTTTTTCTTTTTTCCAGACCAAAAAACATGTTGGTGTACAATTGTACAACAGGTGGAATCAACCCTTTCTTCTGGGGAGAAATGGGTAAGTTCAAATTTAAAACTAGGTCATGGCAAACCTCAATAGCCTTCCTTGGCAGGGCTTTGAAAAAGTGCTCCCTATATATGTATAGGGAAGGCAATTCTAGAAATGACAGATTTGTTTCAAGAACAGTTTGCCTTTTGATCATGAATTTTGTCAGTGTAGAAATTGCAATGATTTTCCTGGCTGTCTTTATGATTCAAATCTGATTTCCTTTTGAGGCAGAGGTGAAAGAGACACAAATCATGACACCATTACAGTGAAAAACTGCCACTGAAGCCAAGCAGCAGAATTTGGCTCAGCTACATACTGTGAAATACTGCAAACAGACAATGCATTCAAGGCTAGACGCATGGGGCCTGATTTGTTTTCTGTGTTATATGATGATTCACATCTTTGCACTTTTAAATAGAGGATGCTAGCAAATCACTACGGGGGGACGCCTGGACTTCCAGGTTAAAAATACTTAGACCAGGAACAGCTGTAGGAATGACAATAGAATAGGGATTCTTCCGTGGGGCATTTTGAATACAAGGATGACGAGATTGGAGAGAGGGAGAAGACGAGGTCAAGAAGAGAATTATTTGAAAACATAAATGTCCAGATAAAGGCTTATGCTGGAAGCTGCGTTGCCAGACTAGCTTGTTCTACAGATTTCCAAATATAGACGACCCTCAAATGTTAGAAGGAACTTGATTTGTTTTATTTTGTTTACAAATAATGTGATGCCTTGGAATTTATTTTTGTATTGTCTTCTCTTACTACTGTTATTTTCCCCGCTATTACAAAAATGGGGCCAGACAACTGAGTATTAATCTGAAGAAGTATTCTGTATTCTGTTTTGCTGCAATGTAAGTCTTGCTAGTCAGATGTGAAGTATGTTTTGCAGTTTCTGGTCAGAATTAATTCTTAAAGCAGGCTTTAAAATGGTGTTCAGTGCATGAAAATTTAATTTTCATTTATCCTTGATGGTTGGAGAGATTGGTGTCTAATTCTCACCCTGTGAAATTTGCCACTGTGTTCCAGAATTTGCTGCTGTATTTTTGTGCAATGGCAGGAGGGGAACTCCCATCAGCTAAGTCATTTCAGTAACTCCTACAGGTGATGTGTTTCCAGTTCAGGGTTCTTCTCTTGTCTCACCTGTTTGATTCTTTCTCTCTGTCTGAAACACAAGCTCCTATAGTTTAAAAGACTATTATTAAGCTTGCAAGGTTGAGCACTTTCCAGAAATTAGGAAATACTGCAACTGTAGTGAGTCAGCGCATGGCAAGATTAGGGAGTTTCAAAAAGAAAACACCCATAGCATTAACTGTTCCAAGTTACAGTACATGGACGTTTTCCTGACTTTCTTTCAGTAAGAGATTTGAGTTAGTCTTACTGCACTCTTAAAAGTGTTTCCAAACAGCACAGCTTTCACTCCTGACTTGCAAAACTTTCTCAAGTGCTCAGCAGATATCTCAGCTGCTGTTGATACATGTGCTTTTCACCCCACGAGGAATCTCACAGCACGGTGCAGCAGCTGCTTTGCTACAAGCCTCAAGTACCCAACACGAGAAAGGTGCTGCTGCTTCATGTAATTTCTGTGTACAGCTGCTGATCTGAAATGACAAGGGCTGCATTGTCCAAAGGGAACATGGATTAGTTCTTTCTTGCTGTCATGGCCAAAGATGCCAAAAATAAGAAGAAAGGCAGTAATCTCTTTAACATGTTTCCAAATTGAAACCTTTTCAATCAGTTTACAGCTAAAAACTAGATTTGAAGTGCATTAATATTTGGATTTGAATAAACTGAGACAGAGCCTTAAATGTTTACTGCAGACAATATCAAAACAGTATCGCAATTCCAAAATGTCAATGGTTCCTAATAAAACTGGTGGGCTTCCATCAAGGGATGAAGAGACCAAATAAAGCTAGATAAATATTAATAAGCAGATGATAGTTTGTACATAAACTAGGATTTAAAGTGTCTTTTGGAGAAATTACTTCGGGGGAGAAGAAACACAGCCCATCGGATTGCTTTCCTGATCCATGAGATGCTTGGAAGGGCACAAATATCTAGCCCTCTCCAAAGTGTGAGCTGATGTCTTCACAAATCAAATAAGCGTTGGCACCTGCGCCCAGTGCCCTCACATTGTGGCATCTGAACACAGTAGCTTTCTGCTGCTCTCAGAACTGGGAGCAGACTTCAAGCGAGTTTGATTTATCCCTGTTTGTGCTATTTTCTTCTTTCCTCCAAGGGAGGCGCTCAGATGTTCCTTTTTCTCCACACTCTTTAAACTGTCCTTCAGTACCCTTGAGCAAGCCATAGCCATTTAGGGCTTTGTCAAATTATAATTACAGTAAATGGCTGTGCTGCTAACTCAGAGGGAAAGAAATCTCTACTTGCTCTTTAGACAGACACCGACTGTGCCAAGAGCTGGGCTGGGACGACAGGTTCCTTCCCAGTAGCTCATCTCAAGCTGCTTATCACCACTCCCTTGTCATAAGTTACCACTTTTGCAGATCTTCAGTTAAATCAATCCAGTGAGCACTCTCAGCCAGGCAAAACAACATGGAAAAGTTTAAATAGGAGGTCTCTGCTAATAATCCTTGTCATTTTGACAGAAGAGGATTAGGGAGTGCGCATATGTGCAGCTCTGTCAGCGTAACTGAGACAGGTGGTAATCGGGGTGGTAAATCTGCTACAGGGAAGAGTAACTCCTCCTCAGCTGGCAGAGCTGTTGATATATTTATCAGTAGCCTGAGCTGGATCCCTCGTCCCATGTTGGCAGCACAGCTGCTTGCTACAGTGCACCTCGGCAAACGCTCTCCTGCAGACTCCTGTTCTCAGGGAGCTCATTTCAGCAAAGCTCCTTCTCACTAATGCTCACTGCATTGCCTGAAAGGCTCATCTGGCTGCTCAGCCTCCTGCTCAATGCTGTGGGGCCTGGCTCTCACTGGGGTGCTCATTTTCCAATATTCACAGCAGCAGGTGTGTGTCTGGGTGTCTCTCGGATATTGCAGAGTCTGGGCTGCCTGTGCCTGAGGCAGACACTTCTGGGGCTTAGGTCTAAACATTGTGAATTCTATGAAGTTACTTGCCCAGGGTGTGTTTTGCATATACTGCTACAGCCTGCGAACATGCTTGGAAATAAGGAAATTATTCCATTAGTAAATTCCATTTCTATCTGAATATATAGCAACTGTTTAGACGCTTCCACCTTTCATTTATGTCAATGAACATGCTGCAGAGGAAAACATTTCCACACCACAGTCCGCAAGATAGCCACATTATTGCAGCGTGGCTAAGTAAAACAGAAGGGATGCCAGCTCTAGCTATTCAAATGCACAATGAGTTTCAGGAGGACTGGTCTTCAGCCATTAAACTTGCAGCACACCAAACACAAACACAAACAATGGCCTTACACTAAATTTAAACAGTACTATTTTTAGTAGTTAGACTACTTTTTGTCTAAACTCAGCCACAAAGAAGTGTCTAACAAGCTTTCTGCAGTTGTTGTTACTTATGCTTAGAAGGAGTAAAGCAAAAGTCAGTACTTCAACTACAGCAATTAACCAGCCACCGATATAGAAGAGAGGACTCTGAATATTGCAATTGAAATCTGCTTATCTAAGGTGATCTGGATGTTTCTTGTGACTTGCAAATTCTTATCTGATTTTCTATTTGTAACATAAGCTTAGAGGGTAAGCTGTAGTATGAGCACAGATTGATGCTGTAACTCTTAAATTCATCTGAGGGCTAACAGCTCAATTTTTATAAAAGAAAGAAAGCCCACATATTCCTCTTCTTTGTTTAGCTTATTGATGCTTAGCAATAGGAGCACCATCTGTTTATTAGTCCTTAAGATGAGAGTCTTATATTCAACTACTGCAGTTCTATTAAGCCTTTCCAATATGCACATACCCCCACTTATTCACATGTAGATGTGACTTCTGCGGCACTGTGACATTGCAAGAGCTCGGAAACAAAATATTTTGTGCCTTAACAAAAAGTGAGTGAAATGATTGTCTTCCAGTCTGGAGATTTCAGGTTGAGAACGCAATAGAAGTTGCTGCTTTAGTGCATCCAGAGCTCATCTAACAAACAGACTGAGGTATTTGGTGGTGCAAACCAGATTTGGTTGGGATGCCTTTCTGGAAGCAGCAAGCTATGCATGTTAAGTAGCCTGTCCTCAACAGCTGCAGTCATCAATTTTAATGCCAGAAGCAACCGTGGAATCATATTGTGTAACCTGCTGATTGTATGGTCCCCAGACTATAAGTTAAACATATTAAGCACAGTAACTTGGGCTCTTCTGAGGCATGTGGTTATGTTTGTGCTCAACATTACTCAAATTAAGTGTGTGATTTTAAACAAAATGCCTGTTCTCTTACAGAGCAGTATGTGATGTCCACATTCAAAAGGAACCCGCTTGAGCAGGCCTTCAGAACACCCAACACTCACTTGACATCAAACTACCTGATAAACCAGTACTGGATAACTGTCAGTCATAAAGCGCCGGCCATACTCTATGACTTGTACATGAGGCTGACAGGAAGAAAGCCTAGGTAAGAAATTGCATACCTTCAACCATTTGCATAATTACCAATGCTATAGAGAGAAAAATCTCTAACAAGATCTGAGAAATGGCTGCATCAGCTTGGAGTCCCTGGTCTTCTTCCTTCCTCCAGTCCTTGTTTTTAACTGCATGGCTGTAGCTAAACATAGCCTAGAATTAACACCCTTCCCTTTATTCAGGGGACAGCACGCATTGTAAACTCAGCTTTACACACTTTGGAGGTTCCCAAGCAAGCAGAAGAGGACTGTTAAGTCAGAGTTGCTCCCTTTGGTCCTCCTGTGAAAGTTCCTCCAAAGAGATAATGAAGTTAATGCCTGGATAGTAAAGCAGCTGTTACTTCATCCTCATTGCTTATATATAAGCACTGTCCTGTTGGTCTGTGTACAGCAAGAAAGATTTCAATTGTTAAAACATTCTTATGTGAATGCCTCAATCTGTCATGAGTAAAGCCTCAATATTGTATAAAGCCTTGAGAATGGCAAGGTTTAGAACATCACAACTAATATTTTTCTCTCACAAATCAGATGCAAAATTAGCAGTTGCCAGCACTGGCCCAATGTTTTGAAATCTAGAAAGATATAATGATTATTTCTGAGTACGAATAAACTCTGAATTGTATTTACAAGGACAGTTTACCATATTTGAGCCTTGGCAGTGTCATGGCTAGAAGAAACACAGGCATGCGTATCGCATGTGGACAGAATCCTTGTGTAAATAACTGACTTGGCCAACTTCTGTCCTTACTCCTTGCAACCACAGAGGAGAATTTGTTCTGCAGTAGAAGAACAGTATGCCAGTGCTGTGCTCTGCATCAGCTGCTTGGTGCTGCCCTGCTAGTTAGAAAGCTGGCTTCAGCAAATGTGAAACAGCTAGCAGTAAGTACTAAGCATTACTGTTACAACTGACCTTTCTTTTCATGAAGGTGATCATGATTAGTAGCCAGTGGACATTGTCCATAATGCTTTCCTTGAATTTCAAATAGAGCTCAGCATGAATTCATATTGAGAAAGATCTCGTCTTCTGAACTTTCAGGTTTGTGTCCGGAGCAAGCAGGGCTCAACAGCGAGTCTGGGAGTTCTCCAAGTCCTTTTTCATAATTCCCCTTTCTTCTTACAGAGCTACTAAAGCTCATTCAGGTACTGCTGCAATGTGGTAGAAAGCAGGAATGGAAGTAGTTCATTCTTTCTTTTTTCACAGCTACCTAAATATCAGGTCTTTATGCTCTAATGGTCGTAAACCACATTCAAATTTAAAAAGGATGAACGTGTCACTGAACACGCTTTAAATGTTCACCTTTAATTTTTTCATTCTACTTTAAGCAAGCATCTAGCCTTAACTTTCTTCCCACTTGTCACTCCCATCTACTGAAGTACAAGCTATCTTTATAGCAGTTTTCTGAATTGTCTCCGTGACCCTATGCCAGATTTGCAGGTAGTAAGCCTGCCAGGAACCAGGAAGCTGCCTTTGCCAGGAACAAGACTTAGGCCTCAGTTCGCTACTGAATCCTTACTCAACTCATTGTAAGGAAGTGTGTTATCATATAGGATACGTAATCTGGGAGCTGGTTGTGGTTTTGCAGGTCTACTGTTTATTCAGGACAGCCTATGGCCTTCACTAATTTGAATTGCAAGGAACTCAGTTGTAGTTCCTTGTGTAGCTACCATATGCAGCACCTCATGAGCTAGCAGTGGGAAAGAGCAGGTACAGGGGTCATCTCCATCAGCTTTAGACTCGTATATAACTCGTCTCCTAGGAATCTTACTTCAAGCGTTAGCTCCTTTCACATAATTGCCAGATGCCTAGCAAAACTGCCCTAAATGGCTTCCAGTTATTGCTACATATTTATCCATGGCTTAGAAAATCATGTAATTAGTAGTCTTTCAGGGCAATCTGTCACACCTGAAAATCTGCTCTTGCAAGGCTCAGTGTGGGATCAAATAAGGAAATAATTGCTGTAAATAGCTTTCAAGAAGACAGGATGCATTTCTGAAGTGTAACTATTAAGGCTGTCAGTGAGAGCTAATACTTGTTGTTTTTTGATATTGTTTTTTTTTTCCTCAGTTCCTCCACAATGGAGAATGAGATACTGTGTAAGAAACCTTTGCCACAGCCTCTGGAAGTCTGCAGAAAAGCATATTTCTACCTGGTGATAGTTTGCAGTGCACCATTTTTTAATCCAAATTATTTACTACTTTCAACTTGGTGATGATATTTGGGCTCTACTAGTTAGCATGAACTACGATCTTCAAACGTACCTCTTTAGATACCTTTGTTTCTCTCTTTGACCCCTCTTTTCAGCCATTCAGATATGTTGCTTTTGGTAGGTTTAAAAACAAAAGATGGGGGACACATGGTTGATTCTCGTATTATTGCTTCTGACAGATTCCATTATCCTTAAACACTCTAAAGATACTGACTACTTTTTAGGAGTGAGTTTGAGAAGGAACTGCAAATTAATCATCTGCTTTGTTTCTCAAGTTCTTAAAAGGTATTAAAATATTCACAAAGCATTGCCCCATAGTACTTGTTGACTTGGAGACAATCAGGAAGATTAATCTGAGGCAATTTTTAAGCAGTTTAGTTAAACTGCATTCAATCTATGTACACATAATTATTCAGAATGAAAATACCCTTAATTTGATGGTTTACTTTGCTTCTAAAACGAAGGCTGCTTTAATTCTGAGTAGGAGTGTCTGTATAAGGTTTAATGCACATTAAATTCACTTTGAGTAAGCTGCACAGTTCTCCTCAGAATTGATGTACTCATTGTGTCTTTTTCTGCTGTGCTTAGTGCTTATTGTAGTGGCAGCTGCATCTGTGCAGAGCGAGGCCAGCCTGGCACCATTCTTCTGCAGACTGCCTTCTTTCATTTGTCACAGTGACTTTGCTACCCTCTGGGCAGCTCAAAATTTCTCATGAAAACAACTCTGTATTCCACAGAAATCAGCCTTTTAACACTTTCTCTTGCCCTCATCCATTCTGAGAGAACGTGGCATAGTCTCAAAATTGACCAAGCACTGCACATCGTTTTAGAACAACTACCTCCCAGAGGCCTTTTGTACTCATGACCATCGGGATAGTTGTAAAATAATCCTGTGAGAGAGGAGAGCAATACTGTCATCCCCTTTCATAATAAATAAATGTATTCTGCATCATAAATGCATTATGTAAAAGCCCAAGGCAAATGAGAGACTTGAATTGGTATTTCCAAAGTCCTTGTTTAGGAGACGTACCCCTGAAGTACCATTCTCTTAAAGAGGCCACTCACACTGCAGAGAGGTGTTCAGACAGTTCCAAAAATAAGTGTCTATGGTCTGGATAATATTTAAGGTCATCTAGAATCCTTCATTAGATGTACATGCTGTCAGACCCTTCCTATATAAGGAGACTACTCCAGACTGACACTACACAAGGAGAGGACTGGCCCTTAAGAAAAAATAAATAAATATTGTTATATACAGATCAAAGAAGCCCAAAGACACAAAAAACATGCCATTTTCTGAAAACTGAAGTTGAGCAATAGACTTCATGGCTTGTCCGTGCTGCAGCTGCAGCAGCCTTTGACTTGGAGCTGGCTCAGTACAAACTAAATCCAAAATCAGAGCCTCACTGTGGCAGTCAACTCAGGTTTGAGAACAGAATTGCATTTGTATGGTAGAAGGAGACGTATCCACCCCATGAGGCAAGCAATATACCTTTGTGGTTTTGCAGTCTGCTGTGGAGACTTAGTACTAGCTCATATGGGCTCTTCACAGTACTGCAGTGGGTCTGTTATTGGCCTCTTGCCTTTGCTTAGTTCATGCCAGCAAGCTAGGCTTCAGTCCTGCTCTGGGAAATGTACTTTTACACCCATGTTGAAGCCAACTAGAAAGGCTGTAGGATCAAGGACCTCAGCTGGCAGAGTTACATCCTTGCTGAGCAGGTTCTCAGCCTGGTGAGCACCAGTGAAGTGCTTGGTTGGAATCACAACTCTTTTTCATCCGGACTGGTGAAAACACTTATGGATCAAAACTCCAGTTTTTGCAAAAAGTCAAATTTCCTATCCTTCTCTGACAATCCTTCTCTGTTCCAGAATGATGAAGATTATCAATCGACTGCACAAGTCTATGATGCTCCTGCAGTATTTTTCCACCCAGTCCTGGGACTGGTCTTCAGATAATATGAATATGTTAATGAGTCATCTTAACCCAGAGGACAAAAAGGTAAGCACATCCCGTATGTGGATTGCTAAACTGCAGTTCTGTTCATCTCCAGCAATCATTTTCGGTGTATGGTTGAGCCTTCAAATGACATCTGCCTAGATGACTGGAATTGACCTTAGATAGAAATAATACACCACTCCCCACCATTGTTTTATTAAATAACAAATCAGGAACACTCTTTTATAGGAAGGTGTTTTCTTCTGAGATGTTTTGCAAAAACAGATGGATCAGTCACTGAAGTCTCTCCAGATAATATGGCAGCTTTCTACCTTTAGCTCTCAGGTTTCTATTTGGTCTATAGTCAATCTAGACTTGTTTCCACAGACAAAATGGATTGTTATGAAGGGAGCATGACTTTATATTCTCCACAACCCAACTGTACTGCGACCTCTGTGTTGGGGAAGCTAAAGGCATCATATGCAATGCTGGCTTATTACCTCCACATGGTTGACTACATAGACCGGGACACACAATGGAGTAGGAAAGCTAGGGACATTCTCTTCTGGATGGGCACACAACATTTTTCTTTCTGAGAAGAAATGGTCAATTCCAGTCTTCATGTCACAGCTCCGGGCCCTGAGAATCTCATGAATCCCCTTTCATGGGAGGATATGACCATGTTAACTAACGTCCTGTACAGGGACCCTAAAAAGAGAATATCAACAGTAATGCAAGGATCTATGCTAAAGGTAGTTTTGTTGTAATCAATTAGTCACTGAAATTCTGTGTAGCGTTCTCGATATCTTCTCACCCTAGTTTTCTGTGTGTCTTGCTTTTGGAAAACTAGGGAGCTCCTTTACAACATCACTCTCTCCTCTCTCTCTTCTGGCAGTCTCTGGCTTTTGGTGGATGACCTGGATGGAATTCACTTGAAAGATTTTGGCATTTTCATTCATGTTGATTTTAATGGGCACTGCATGGGGAAGCTTAGTTAACACACAGTGTCTTATCCTGAGCAATACAAAAAAAGCTCCCGTTTGCTTCAAGTCCTCTGAGAGCAGTTCTTTTGCAGGATGTCAAACTCTGCTGTACTCTTTATAGGTTTGAAATACTTCTTAACAATGGGGCTGTAACTGAAGGACTGAAGGAACACAAAGAGTAGATATGGAATAAGTTTGAATGCACCTTTGGTCAGTATCCTTCATTTGCAAAGAGCTACTTAGACATTCACATCAATTTGGTCTCATGTCATACAGATTCCCAGTAGAAGCATCAAGACTCTTCTTCCCTTGTCTGAAGAGCTGGCGCATGCAGGAAATTCTAATAGCTAAGAGCATTGGCATTGCTGTGACTACAGCTAATGTATAGGGGGCCTAAAAGGAATAGAGCAGCTAGTTCTGATGCAGCTAAACAGAAAAACCAGCAGCAAGGACTTCAGTGTAAGTGCGCCAGTATTTTATGCTTACCAAGCTGCCTAGAGAATTTTGTGATGTGCACTGAATCCTATGCTGCCACTGCTACATTGCAAACAGTACTCAAGCAAGATAGTGTATGGGCAGCACAGATGTCTGTGCATATCTGACAGACACACTGGGCTCTGCATGGTAGCTAATCCTCTGTATTTGACACAGTTAGGCTACCTCTCTCTGCTCAGTTGTTGCTATTCTGATACCAAAATTCTTGCACCAAACCAAACGGCCTGCACTGAAAAGATATTTTCCAAGTATCTTCCCTTTTAAGCCCTTGTAAGAAAGAAATGCCATTCACTTCATTAACTCATTAAAAAACAAACAAACAAACCCAAAACTTCTCTACAAAACCACTTCCTCTTTACAAAACAAGTTCTGTCTTTGCTCTAATAGACAGACAACCACCTCAGAGCATTGTTAAAAATTTTTCCAATATCAACATTTGAAACAAACTGGTGTTATTAGCTCTGCAATGAGATTTCTCAAATGCCAAACAACAGAGTAACCCATTCCTTTGATTCCTTGGATTTCTGTCGATCTAGATGCAGAGAGAGAATGCAGCACAGGACAAAGTAATAATTGATATAAAGGCACCTGTTGATTGAAAGTCCAGTTAATTTATTTACACTCAAAACATAATTCTAGTGACACTTCAAAAAACCGCAAGTAGGCTTTCAGATGAATCAGCTTGCATTAGTGGAAAGCCATTTTTCTTCCATGCTTTATAAATAGATCTATATGTATGTATATACATATATTTATGTACAGTGGCCACCTGAAAGAAAAAAAAATATTTTGTTTCCTCTAGCGAACACCACTTTTTTACTTGCTTTACCCAGATTCCCACTTGGGTAAGACACGGATGAACATTAATCCATAGATTTGAAGTACACTTTGTTAGTGTCCATCTCTTCTTAGAAACTTGGTGGCTTTAAAAACTTAGCAGAGAGGACCTTATATGGAGCAGAGGACAATGAAGAATTGGTGTTTAAAGTGTACTTGTTTTGAACTTTGGCATTTAAATACTGCTCTTTGTCTTTAAATCTCAGTTATACAACTTTGATGTTCGCCAGCTGCATTGGTCAGAGTACATTGAAAGCTACTGCCTAGGTGCTAAGAAGTATTTACTAAATGAAGACATGTCTGGGATTCCAGCAGCAAAGCAGCACTTAAGAAAGTAAGTCATACTCAGTGACAATGACCACAACTTCTGGCTACTTTGAATGGCTCTTGAGAAAAATTATTCTACTTACATTGCAATAAGTTATTGTTGAATAATGTGCAAGATAAACACAGCACAGCTTCTTTATTATGGCAGAGGGTGCTTGGTCCAGTATTTCATTTTTCCATCCTGTGAGAACAGGACTTATGATAAATTTAACAATCAGGGGCTAGATATTATGTCTTTACAGAAGATGTCCAAATAATGAAGTTACAATGCATAAGAGGAGTCCATGAATGCAGAAATTGCTGGTAATTCTGAATTACAATAGAAAAATGAAAGTCAGATTTAGAATTTATGAAGCTCCTGGAAACTTTTAGCAAATCAAAGGGATTGTGTAAAAACTTTAAGCATACATGGTATTTTAAATTTCATTTTAAAGTTAAAGTTTCTAATCATTTGGGGAAGGGGGGATACGCAGAATAGGCAAAATTGGTACAGAGCTTAAGCATTCAAGCCCTGGTGACAGTTTAATTCTAGATGGGCAATATCAGATTGCCCTCTCCAGTTCAATTAGATACTGTGCTCTTCTTATCTTCTCCCACCCTCTTATTGGGAAGTGCAGGCAAGAGGAGAAGAGAAAACTCTTGAGCAGAATTAGACTGGTAGTTTCTTTTAAGAAAACTATAGCTGTGCGCTGTAAATACTAGAAGAATAAAAGTAGTTGCCAAAGGAAGGAACGTTAAACAGGTTCCTAGTTCACAAGTCATTTTAAAAAGATTTATAAGACCCTCTGTAACAATGGCCTCATAAGCCCAAGTAGGTAGTATAAGCTTAGTGTTAGAGTTTACAAACTAAATAAAGGACTCTTACGAAAATCAAACTACTCTTGGGTAGATTAGGTATGAAGGCATTGGCCAGACATTAGGTAAGTAAGAGTTACAAAGAAGTGTAGAAACTGCAGAAACAAAGATGACTAGCGTCTCAAAGACTCAATAATTCCATTTAAATACATGTTAAAAAAAATACAGCATTGCAAAAGTGAAGGCTCCTGATGGTTATTGAGTAAACCCAACACTATAGCTGAGCTTTCACCCAACAGGAAAGCTTTTTCATCAGCCCCAGCAAAAATGCTCCAGCCAGTCAATGATCCTACATAATCAAAAATAACCAATATACCCAATTAGAGCAGGACATGTTGGACATTTCCTTGTCCATCATTGAGAAATCACTTCTCAGTATGAATTCAGTGTCTGTTCCGGTCTGAAAGGAGAACACACAGAACAACAGAGACTTGGAATACAGATATTCAACCTATCCCATTAACTATTCACAACAACATAACATCAGCACCGTTCCTGGCAGGATGGTACTGTGGGACTGAAGGAAGACATGTTAGGCTCAGTGTCTTCACTAAAATAGGAATGGCAAAAAGCTCAAGGACCACATGTAAAAAGGATTTCTTAACAAAATTAGCTGCAGTAAATAAAATAAGGTGGGACAGTTTTGGGGTTGTTGTTGTTGGGTGTTTTTTTTTTCTCTTCCTCTGTAACATGCATCTTCTCTCTTTCTCAGGCTGAGAAACATCCGATATGCATTCAACACGACCCTCTTAGTGATCATCTGGCGCATTTTCATTGCAAGGTCACAGATGGCTCGAAACATCTGGTACTTTGTGGTGAGCCTCTGCTATAAGTTCCTTTCTTACTTCAGGGCATCCAGCACCCTCAGGCACTGAAGCAGTCCATCAGCATCCAGCCTCTTCCAGAAGGACCTCCATCTCCTCTAATCCACAGCTGTGGGCATCTGGGCCTGAAAGTAGCAGAAAATCCATTCCCTCCAACAGCAGCCGGCATTTATTGCGCACTGTTATATGTTCATCTTTTTAATTTAACTAATGCTTTAATACATGGTGGTCTTTCTCCCATAGGACCAGGCTGATTTTTAAAGCCATAACTGAACCTTTAGGAGCAGGTCAAGCTGGAATCTTTCATCCAGAGTCTGATGGGCAAGAGTATGGATTAACCAAAGTCACTATCTTCCCATGCACTGCCTAGGCTATCTCAATCCCACTTTCCTCCGTAAGTGAGGCAAAGTTAAGGGCATAGAAACTTGGAAGAAAGGGATGCGATCAGAGAAGAAACAGTTGAGGAGATTGACCTGTGAGAGGTCTTCCTAAAGAGGCTATTCCTTCATTCTCCTTCAGTGAAATGGTACCTTATTGAAAATCATGATTTCATATTGTCCATTTTTCAAAACTTAGAGAAAATACAAAATCACCTACATTAGGCCAGTGAACACACTGAATAATTTTCAAATTTGTCTTATGTTGCTACTGAGGACTGATACTTTCACACCATAATTGAAGAGATGCATAGAATTCATGTACCTGTGTTAACTGTGCTTGCTCACAAGCTGCTTTATTATGGAGAAGCATTTTTCTCTCTGTGGTTAAGCTTGCAGTTTATCTTCTATTATAAAGCCCCATTCTTGCATCTGTCACTTTTGCTTGGAACATTTTGTTTGGCTTGAAATATGCCGTATTTACTTTGAGAATGAAGAGAAGACTTCTGAAAAGATTGAAGAAAAATTCAGAAGTTTTTTTTAAGGAATAGGTCCTTTTTCACCTCCCTCCGTTTGTCTGTAGAAAATTTCTTTCCTAGTAGCTCAGAAGCAGCCTATTACTGCTCTTCAAGCTTTCATTATGGCTAAATCACGCTGCACTTCCACTGGCCAAGCAAGTACAAAGGAGCGTATGGAGGGAATCTGATCAGGCCAATTCTGCTACCACAGCTGCCAGTAGGAATTAAAGAGGTCAAAATTTGCTTTTATTGAGGATAGGAAAGGTTTCATTGACTTCTGTGTAAAACCAATTATGCTCTATGAAGGTAAAACATTTTGTCCTTTGTTGCGGTTTAGAAAGGACCTCAAGGATCCTACTGAAGCCCAGAGCTATAGAAGATGTTTGTTAGACCCAGTGACAGATGTCACTGATTTTGGAATTGCAGGTTTTAGATTTTTTTCTAAGTATGAACACCTGTGGGGAGACAGAGAAAGAGGACCTTCTTCAAAGTAGCTGGTGCAACGATGGCCCTACCACAACAGCAACAAGTTTATCATGCTAGCAGATTTTTAAAGTCAAATCTAACACTGGAATATTTTTTATTTTGAGTAAACTGAATAAGCACTTTAAGATTATAAGACTTCAGTACTACTTTTTGAACCAACTGCAGCATCCAACTTGTCTAGACTTGTGTCATTCTAGCTGTCTGAAAAAGTACATCACAAAAATTAACACAGCGGTTCTTTTCAGTGCTGAGAATAGCAGAACATTTACAAAGCTGGCGTTCTTTAAAAGTTATACCTGTTTTTGGCAGTGAAGGCAACAAGTTATGTGACGGTATATTTTTGTCTTAGGTTTCCAGCTGATTCAAAAGTCTTTTTAAAAGAACAAGGAATTAATTTCCTCCGCTCTGTTCCCTAGAGGTCTAGTTTCAAGCAATTGCCAAAGGACGCTTGCAGCAGAACCTGACCAGAAGCACACTGTCCAAAACGGCATGGCTCTGCCATTGCCTACAAAGGCCTTAGTGCTTGCCACACGTTTCTTCAGACCTACGTTCAGGTAGATCAATCACCTGGTTTACAGAGATGCAAGTGTTTTTAAGCTCGTCACCTGAAAACATATTTTCACTGTACTAGTTGCAAGCCAAGTGTTTTCCAGCTCTAGAAAGGTTTGCATGCTGTGCATTGCACATTAGCAACATGTCATTGCCTGTGAATTCGGGAGCTGTGGGTTTAGTCACCCGGGGCTGGACACTTCATATCCAATGGTTCTTTAGCAGTGTATAAAGGTCACGAAGGTCAGCTGCGTTATACTTGAATGCCTGGCTAACTTGGCAGAGTGAGGCAGGGCTCTGTAAGGAATCCTCTGCGTTAGAAAGTATTCACGCAAGTAAATAATCAAGTGTCAGCCAGTTTCCAGTCTTTTCTCACAGGAAATGTCAAAAAGAAAAATAGAAGTGCAGACTATTTTGAAACAAACTTAATGAAAAAAAAATTAGGCAAGAATCTGAGCTGATATCCTAGAATTCTTTTTAAGTGCCTGTCTTATGTATAAAGAGAAGCAACACCTAAGGGGATCCTAACTCTTAAGTTGTCCACATGACAGACAAAAAAACCAAGTCCTGCAGATCAGTCAGATACTGCAGGCAGCAGAGCACCTATGACGTCTGACTGAAGCATGTAGACAAAACCTACCGTTGTTGGGCTATAAGTAAACTCTCCTGCCGTCCCTCCCCCAGTCCTCGTTGTGCCATGTGTTTAGCAAATATGCCTATAGGCACGCAAAAATACTTGCACAGGTTGTGTTGTCCCAGCAAGTCTGATACGTATCTTTGCTCAGTATCTGAACTGTATCTGGAGTGTATCTGGACCTGCGAAAACACTTCAGGTTTCACGCAGAGCGATGGTTGTGGCGACATCTTTTAAAGCACTTCACCATTTTGCTGAAGGTAACAGAAGTAGCAGTTACTACTCATCCCTGCAAACAGCAGGAGCTGCTGGGGATGTCGGAAGCATAGCTGTTGCAGATGGTGCATGCTATCCTGGCAGACTTTCACAACCCACACACCACGTTGCCCTCAGCTGGCTCCCAAGCTCTGGCTCTACCTACAAGGAGATCAAGCTATTAACTTTCCTTAACACAGACATAATCTTTAACCATTTTCTTGTGGCTGGAGATATTTTCAGGTGATTGCCTGAATCACAAAAGTGTTTCAGCAAAACCTCAATACAGAGATTGACACCTGGCAGTGGCATTTTGGTATCAGTCCTGGCTGCTATCACGGCAAGCTGGACCGGGGTTTAAAACTTGTTCTGTCCTCAAGCAGTGACTTACCTTTGGGGTTTTCCTGTGTGTTCCTGAGTGTATTTGCATTTGCTCTGAAGAAACTCAAGCCTTGGGGAATGTATTTAAAAGAAAAAAGCCAAGTGACAGCTACTTTTCTTTTTTCTTGTTCCATCCCCCTCTCTTTCATGCATGCATATACCCTTTTGTCAAACTGAAAGCCAAATACAGTTATTAAGTTAGAGGTCCTGTGGAGACCAATATGTGGGGACCACATATTAACGTGAAAGACTCAGGAGTAGATAGTTCTCATTACGGTTGAGGGCTAGAGAATTAGATTTTTAATACCCGTACTAAAAGCTGAAGCAGGACTCAGGCTTTTTACAGAGGTAGCATACAGGGGAAGAGCCCCTTCAGCATTTTGTTATCAGTTGGGTTTCTTGCATTCAAGTGCACGAATAAAAGTCCCCCACCCTTCCCCAGCCTATCTTCTAGCTCCTGACAGGCAGCACAGAGACCACTATTAGCAGTCATTCTGCAGAGCCGCTGCAGAAAATATCTGCCACAAAACAGCACAATGGGATTATCAGCTGTAATCGTACCCCAGAGACTTGCGGTTTATCTACCCGCTTATGGTGTCAGAAGCCTGAATTGCTGCTACAGAAATAACATGGGAACACTGAACTGCTGAAACCAGTGTGCTAATGTTTTTGTTAATACTATGCATATATACTAGTCTGTAGGCTATAGCTATAAACTGCCGTGTGAAAGTAATGAGATACTGAATATCGTTTCATTGTCAAATAGCAATGGGCATAAGTCATCAAGCTTGCAATTAAGAAGAATCTATTTTTTATTAAATAGCTATACAAAAAAACCCAAATCCCTAAAATTATTTTGAGTTTAAACTGCCAGTTGACTAACAAACAAGGCTGTTTATCTCCAGCAAGTCTGTTGTAAAAATTAAAATTTCTCAATGATGTCCCCCCCCACCCCCCATAACTGTGTTAAGAAGACCCAATTCTTCCTTGGTGGGGGAAACACATATACTGATATATTACAGTTTGTTGGCCTATTACCCACCTCTTCAAGAAAGTTATTATTTTACATTTTCCAAGAAAACATGGTTGTATACGTTATGTCTGTATGTATATTTACATCTTTCAGCACAAGTTTTCTCACACAACATACCAAGATGGTAAAAAATTGTGGCTATTGTACTGAAACGCCAGGCTGTGCTTGTTTGGTACGCTCTGTTCCAATTCAGTTATGACGAAGTGATAAAACCTATCCTAGTTTCCTATGCAAAGGAAACTTAGGAAACCTAAACCTGTAGTACTATTAAATAACCAAATCATTACCATGAATAAGCAACTGGGAAAAGGGGGGGGGGGGGACCCTTTTGAAAGTTTTTAAATAAGCTGCAGCTTCATGGTTGAAAGCATGCTGTTGCTCTTCCAGCATTGCAGAAAGTATGGATGAACTTTCATTACAATTGGGCCCTTACAGTTCTAGTGCAGAATAAATAGTATGCACCTTCCCCAAAAGCTAAATGGTGAACATCTCATTTCCTGGTGCTAAACACTAGTAAGAAGGTGGTACAGACTTACCTAAAGATGATTTTTAAAAAGGATATTTGAGGAATAATTAAAAATGTACTTTCCCACTTTTCTCTGTTGCTTAAAAGGAAACTCTAGATTTGAGTTGTTTTCTTCAGATTAACAGGAAACTGCTTATAAAAGGTTTCTTGTTCCTACATAATCTTGGCAGGCCCCACTTTATAGTAAAATACATATTCTCCCACTGCCCAAAGTTTATATGGTTCTATCTGCTATTTCTATACTCTTGTTAGCTATGGGACAACTTACTGTTATAAATCTTACTTATAAAGTTTCTAATTTAAGGGTGTAATCTTTTGATCTCTCAAATCAGATAAATTGTAAAGTCACAAATTATAAGAACCTCAGCCATAAAAATGTTAATATGAAGTTTATGTTATTTTAAACATTTAATAAAACAAAATATTTTAAAGCTATAGTTATTTTGCATCAGTTTACTTAAGCTACTGAAAAAAAAGGTGGTTCCTTGCTGACCACTGTAGTTGTGCATAGGCTGCATCTTTACCATGCTGCAGCCTGGCTTTCAGACTGTGCAGAACTGAAGCCTCACCTGCAGGAAACTGGCCACCCAAGGACTTGCTGCACAGGCAAAGAAAGAAAGAAAAAACGGAGAAAAATTCGCTGTTTTTAAAAAGGATGCCTGTGAGGCTTTAATCTAGATGCCTACAACCAGGAAGAGCACATTTCAGATCAGGGTCCCACTGAAAGTGGTAGGACAGATATTCCTAAATTGGTAACAACTTGACTAATTTCCTGAACAACATAACACTTGCACCTGAGATCATTTTCCCCAAATTCCTAGTTTTACAAGTTAGGGACTTTATTTTACATTTGGTGTAAAGTTAACTAAAAAATGGTCTTCTGGCCTAAAGAGCTTTCAAAGTCTGGAGAAATACAATATGCTTTTACTTCAAGACCCTACCATACAGCAAGAGAAGTTTAAGAATGTTATTACATAACTGGAGAAAAAAATCATGGTTAATATGTGTCTCCAAGAAGTGCACAGGTTGTTAGGTATACTTTTAATCTAGTAATTCTCAGGATTGTCAAAAACATCCTGACTCTATGACAAATATCATACTTCACTGTACTTTGAAATGTCTTCAAGGCCATTTAGAAGCAGCAGCACAGTAAGTTAGTGAGATCACTTTGACAAATATCAGGACTAACTAGAAAGAGCTTTTTTTTTTTTTTTTTTTTTTAAATGGGTAGAACACATTACCTTTTCCTGGTCTGAAAAATCTTGACTGGGATCTTCAGGAGTCAAAAAGCTCCAACTACTAAAGCAAAGATACAGTCTCAAGGTGTAAGATCAGGAAGTCTGTCCATGTATTTGTAGAAAAAGAGAATGCTGCACCCCTCAGAAATCTTCACTATCAGATCTTCAAGAAAAAAGTGTTTATGTTTTAACACTAAAACTTCAGTCTCAGTTACCTGCATTGGGAGAGTCTGAAACCAATTCATTAACATTCCTTTAGCTCCTTCCTGCAGCAGTTCTGTTCTCAAAAGCATGTGCACAGCACAGTCTACCACCAGTCCACACACATCTCACTCAGCTGGCCTACTGGAGCTTGTCCTCTTCCCACCAGTGAGAAGCCACTTTTGCATACACAGGATAAGTTATGGCTCTTGCTTCTGCCACTACTCCAGTCCCTTTTCCACTATTCTGCAGGAGCACTGGGAGAAAAACTTCAGTCACACTTCAAAAAATAGAGTTTTTCCACATTATAAGGTTTTTCACACAAAGAATAGTTGTCAAGTTAGGGTGCTGGGCAAATCTCTCTCCTGGCTGCAGTGCTGTTTGCTTCACGCACTGAAGAAGATCCATGAACAGGTAGCTCAGTTAAGGTGTTTTTCTGTTTCTTGCTCCTTTTCTTTTCTATAGAAAAAGTTGTGAAACCTATCATCACTAAAGCAGTGCTTAGCAGGAGCAGAGCAGGAGCAATCACCTTGAGTACCAAGCACAAACTGGGATTTTGCTGTGTTTCAATATTTCCCTTTTAATTTCAGTGACTGCAGTTCTCTGCAATAATACAACTTGGAGGAAATTTCAATCCTATAAATATATATATTATATACATTTTTTTTGTGTGTGTGTGTGTGTGTGTGTGTGTGTGTGTGTGTGTGTGTGTATGTCTCAGGACAGGGCTGGTCAAGTGACTTAGAGATGCAACACTCACAACATTTGGCAATTATGTATTTCTTGAGGAACATATGGATGCATGTACAAACACACACACACGGACACAAACGCGCACGCGTGCACACACCCCCCCCCCACACAACA